TACACTTAATCGCTTAGACATGCRACGCATGAATTGCTTGTACCATTGACAAGCCATACGTTATAGCATTGGAAATTAATTACCAATACTATGCGTTTGGCGAGACCGAGAATCGCCAAAATGGGCCGTCGCGACTGACTCTATTAAGGGTTTGAGCTCTGCCGATGCCTTTCTCACATTATCTTTATCTGAATTTACAGATAAAAGTTCAGATTAGCAACAGTTAAAGCGCCAAAAATCGTATAAACAAACTTGTCTTTTCCATCCGCCATTTTGTTTTGTGTTGTATAGGAAAGATAATACCGCTGACTGAAAATTGAACGGGCGCAAAATGGCCGGATTTGGCTGTCATTCTCCCAGCGTGCTACTTTGTAGCTGGCATTACAGGATTTGCTGCCAATGTAGATTTACAAACTGTGTTAAATCACTACAAGTGCATTACACATGTTTGTTCATATTTCACAAAGGATAGGAATGAATGCTTTCAAGCTAAAATGAATGCTCGTAAAGAAGAAAGAGAAGCCAATCTAAATATCGAAGATGGACTAAGAAAAATTGGTGCTGCATAACGTATCACTGCCACGCCAACTTTTGTCCACGAATTCCTGAAAATCCTTCTCGAACGTTTAGTGTCAAATCCCATGCTCTGAGTACATTGAACAACATGGAACGAATTAGAATTGATCCTTACTCGAAATTTCTGTTAATGCATGATCAGCCGAAATCAGAAACAAAAGAACAGTTGCATCTAGAATTGGGTGTCAAAGAAAGCCTCAAATCGACACCTGCAACGTTTACAATCACAGCAGTATATACAACGGCTGATGATAGTGTTGCATGTACTTCGCGCGAAGTGGACAAAGAGGATGGACTTTCTTTAGTGTTTGCTGCAGCTAAATTGCTTGCAAATGAAGCTTAAGTTTGAGAAAAAGCTCGCTTATAAACGTTTTGTAGTTAGCAAGTGACTTTTAAGCTCGTGATATAGTATAGACACTGGCGCCCTTTTGCTTGTATCAGTCAGAGTTTCTGTAATATTAATGTTTCGTTTAATTTGTTTATGACTTAAAAACAAAAACCGATTTGTAGTTGATTAAAGTTTCTTTGGTCTTTATAATCTAAACTGACGATATGCATTGATTATTAGAGACAGTGAATATGTCGGTGGAAGAACGGCCTCGGCATGCTCCAGCACTTAACATCTCTCAAACTAGTTGTGTTGCTTCTTGTTGCTACAGCTATCAGAGGTCCACCAACTAAAATATCTCACGATCATGATATTACTAATAGATTTCACCTTGGCCAACGCTTAGCGGCTTCAAAAGTTCCAAAAGATCCTACTGGCCTGCAAATATGAAGCCATCATGGAAGTTCGTCTTCGACGAGAGCTAAGGCACTAAACATCCTCAAAACCATCCATGGTTCTATTATTTGGTGATGCATGTCGCATTCCAGGCTGGAGCCATGCTAACTTTTAATAGCCCTGGTTTGAAAAACTGACATCTAAACATTAATAGTCTACAAAAACACATCAATGAAATAAAGATTCTCCTACACGACAATCCATTCCACATGTGCCTTAATGAAATCTGGCTTAACTCCTCTTGGACAGACTCAGAACTTCAAATTGAGGGATACAATCTCATACGGAATGATAGGCCCAACAACCAACGAGGAGATGGGACATATATTCCACACACTGTCCCCATTATAAACATAATTTATCAGTTGCCAGCTTGTCTTTAAAGAGGTGACAACTGAAGTAACAGAAAAGGCAAAGCGCTGAACAAGTGGAAAGCAACTTCATTCAGTCGACAAGCTAACAACCAAATCTACCAGGGTAAAACAAAAAAAAACAAAAACAAAAAAAAAAAAGACGTCGAGAACTGTAAGAACATTTACATTTATTCAGCAGCTAGAAATTTTCATATTATATCCAAGTTATCTATAATTTAAGTTTAGGAATTCAACTCTATAATATTAGTTTCTTTAGTAGTTTGAATGACTTATTTGTTGCTATCACCAATATTAGCTTTTTGTTATCAGAATGCGTATTTCGAAATAAAAAGAGAAATTAGAAGAAAAGGAAGACCGTTTGAATGTTTGTGTGAGCTTGAACAGCCCTCGCAGGCCGTCCACAATAAGGACCAGCAGCAGGAACGATTAGTGGATTATCACTAACCAGTGAAAATTATCAAGAAGCTGTTAAGTTATTGTCTCCAAGGGATAGAAATAAGCAAATTATTTCTGCTCAAATGGATTCATTATTGAAACTGTCATCGGTGCATTCTATGAATGAAATCAAGAAGTTAAGACAATTGTATAATAAAATTGGAGCGAGTATCAGAAGTTTAAATAATCTTGGAACATTTAAACATCTACTTATGGCTCCTTTTTGACCCCAATGATCATGACCAAGAGTTGAGAGTAATTTTAAGCCGAAATATTGGATCGGATGAGTGGACTTTGGAATCTATGATCAAATTATTCTTACAGGAATTAGAACATAGAGAGAAACGTGCGTTCAGATCTTGTCTAGAAAGGCACTCCAGCACTCCATTACGCTTGACACGAATTGAAGTGCAGCAGCTCCAGCAGCATGAGGTGCACAACCTGGAATCACTTTATGAACACATTTTCCACAGACATAATGACGCAGCACCTGTTGAGTACATGCTGTCACCAGAGGGATTTACRTACTTTGCCGAGAAGGAGAAAGAGTTGGAGTAGTCGCACAACTAGATTTTCTCTGGGGAGGGGGGGGGGGGGAAGGCCTTCTGAGCACCTCCCACATAAAATATCCAAGGCTGCCAAGCTCTTTTTGCAATTGCCTGTAACGCTTCATGTGTTCATTCGCCAAATGTTGAGGTCCCTTTGAATGCTGCCAGCACCAGTAACACCCACCGTCATTGGTGTCACAACAATGAAGCGCGCATTTCATCTAGGAGCTTGGTTCCTAGACAACAGAAATATCTTGAAGGTAAATATTATTAAATATTTGTTGGTCTCAGTTTTGTTAGGTTTTCAGGTGAGAAATTTTATCTAATGGAGTCCAGATGATATTGATGGTTTATTAAATAATGAGTATAGGCTCTTTGTTGCTAGGTAAGAGATTGAAATTGTACAAGAGAACAACGTTAGAGGTATCGAACTACACAATTTGGTGTGTTCATAAATATAAATTTGAACATTATCAGCATTAATTGTGTATCTCAAATGAAGTAACTAGGGGATTTAATATACCGAGGTGACTTTTCCTTGGTCTGTACTCCTATCGAACATAGAATTGACGACAGATATGATCCAAACCCAATTCTCATTAGTATAAAAGAAGTACATACCTTGAATGTTCTCAGTAAAGCAATATTGGCAGCCTCCATTCTCGACATGTAACTCTCACATTTATCAAATTTATTAACTTTAGAAAACACACATAGAACACTTAAACATTCTTACAAAGATCTTCTCTGTCTCTTCCTTAACATTGTCAGTTATGGAAGAACACCCGACTCGTTTGTCACATCCAGGAAAATACTCAAAGCACCAGGTCCCTTTGTGACCACACGGATGATGTGCAGGCTGCAACTACAGCAGCTGTAATGGCAGCTATGAAAAAGCTTGAAAAGGAAAAGTTCGGGGAGGTTAATGATGATCTCAACTGCTTTTTCAAGCAACCCCCATCCATATAAATGAAGCAAATTTAGAGCTTTATGGTATGGACATCATTTCTCATACCAGTGAGTTCAGAAAGAGAAATGGCCTCTCTGATAATCAGTGGACCACCCTTTTGTTAAAGGCCCCACAACAGGTGGAAGTAGCAAGATATTTCACCCAGCAAAGGCAGTAAATTTAACATTCTTTCAGTACCAATGAATTTTATGGATATAAATGGATACATTGTAAATACACGTCCTTAGGTAAACTAATGGTTTTGTTCGTTATCCAGCTTGATAAACCTTCTAAGCTTGGATGTAACTTTCCGAATCATTCTCATTTTCAATATCTTACTTTCCAAAAGAAACTTGGCATTACTTTGGTTGTTGTGGCCTTTAAGTTTGAAAGCGTTCCTTACTCTTGTTAAAGGATAAATGCCTATAGCATTCTTTGAGGAAGGTTTCATATGACCCACCCTCTTATTTTGCAATGATGTTGCATGGCTCATCCATATTTTTCAGTTAAAAATATGGAATGGTCCACTTTTGCTTTACGATTAATACAATTACTGTAATGTTCGAGACCTTTACTGTGGATGATGTTTCTTAGACCACGCCACCCCATTGTACATGCATGAAAACAGTGAGCCACTCCCATATTTTCCAGATCACTCACTGTACTTTAGACCAGTCCTAAGAATACAAAATATGTTTCAAGTTCCCGTGCAGATTATCATTCCTTTCCGAACCTGCTTCAGGAGGAATGTCTGACAAGCAGCCACTTTGGATGTGTTTCGCCAGGCATTCTATTGCGTGAAGCACTGCAGGAGTAAGAACTTTCTAATCTTCACCATGCTTCACATTAGCCAACCTCTTGATGAAAGCATTCAAAATTTCTGAGATCTGTTTTGGAGATGGTGTTTTTTCTTCCCTTTCTTCCTCTTTATCAGTGTCTTCACGAAAAATATCTAAAAAGCAGTAATTCAAAACCTATTCATATACTAATTTGCCTTTTTACACATTTTCTGAGTAATTCTTTCTATTGCATGAAATAGATTATTAAACTTGACAAGTATATCAATTCCGAAAACCGTCTTTAACTTTCCTCGGACATGACAACAGTTGTCAACATAAATGGCATCCAAAATCGAATTTTGATTACCAAGCTCGTCTAATCTCAAGTGCCTTTAAAAGGCTATCAACATGGTCCAAGGATGTTCCTTTAGTCAACTGCCAGGCAACAACCTGACCTTTCTCATTTAGCACACAAAATAGTGAATCATATTGTGTTACCCATTTATTGTCTGGTAATTTAATGCCCTAGCCCGCAGTTACATTTGGTGGCCAGGCATGGACAAAGACATTGAGACTCCTGTGCGCAGGTATGAACAATGTCAGCTACATCAAAAAACACCTGCTAAAGCACCACTGCACCCCTGGGAATGGCCCAATGAACCCTGGACGAGACTCTACATTGTCTATGCGGGGCCGTACAAGGGAGAGATGTTCTTGATTGTGGTGGACGCCTGTTCAAGATGGCTTGAAGTACACCTGATGAAGGCAATTACGTCTACTGCAACAATTGAGAAACTGATGGAGATTTTTGCGACCCATGGCCTCCCAAAAACAGTAGTATGTGATAATGGGACCAACTTTACTAGTGCAGAATTTGAACACTTCATGGCAATTAATGGCATCAAGCATATCAAAGTGGCCCCTTACCACCTATCGTCAAATAGGCAAGCTGAGAGAGGAGTGTGAATCTTTAAAGATGGCTTCCAAAAGATGACTGGAGGCACTTGATGAGGACTCAAAGAAGTATACGACAATGAACACTCTCAAGGGACTTTTCGTCGGCACCTGGAATCTTTCAACGTACGATGGAAAACCTCTTACAAGGAATCCCACGTGTAGTTGTACGGATCGACGACATACTAGTCAGTGGTACTAAGTGCGTGAACTCACTCAACAGAGATCGCCCGGTGTCATTGAAATAATTTCTTGCTGTCACATTGTGGTAAACTAAACCTTTCTGAAAATAATTATTAAACTTTTAAGAGTTTTTTAAAACATTAGTTGTCGATAAAGAGTCCGCATGCTGAAAAAGCAGTCATTACGATCGAAGGCAGTCTGTACTCATTCGAATATATAACATTCTTTTTATCACTCTAGCAATTGACTAAATCCAGGGTCTCTTAGGGTCTTTTCAACTTGTCTGAATAACACATCATCTAAAACTTTCCATTATGTGTATTTTTGTTGAAAAGCACCAAAATTGTAAACACAGGATACAATTCAAAACATACATATCAAAGCAATCCGAGGCGAACAACAACTTCCACTAAATAGACCCTACGAGTGCTTTTGTCGGGAACTGCACGTTAATTAGATGATAAGTAAATATGAAATTATGAATAGTTAATAAGGTCGTGACAGTGCGTGACGGAAGTGTGTGTGTTAGTTTTTAATTCTAGTCACCCCGCCTACTGGGGTTGGGTTGTGTAATAATCTTCGAAGAGAGTTTTTCGAGAGACTTTTAGCTTGGTGTGTTTGTGATTCCGGTCAGTAATTGTAAATGTGAGCCTACAGAAACCTAGCGAATAAAAAGGTGAAATGAAAATTAGGAGACGTCAAGCAATGTCTTGTTGGCGTTTTCAACACTTTGATCTAAGAAAAGCTTTTCTTTGCTATATTTTTGTTTAAGAAAATAAAATAATCCAAGATCAATAACCAAAGAAAGCACAAACAGCTGGTTATTAACCATAGTAGCTTCAAAGCACAAGATCTATTTATTCCAAAAGATCACCAAAACAGACCTTTTCAGGCGCCATCTTGTTTCTCTGAAGCATGGGGTAGCATAGGGAAGCATGGGGTAGCATGGGGTAGCATGAATGGCTTTTGCGGCCAACGCGTCGTCTTTCACCGCTGTGAGTCCAGTCTCGGGTCACTGGTTCAAGCCCTGCAGTCGCCACATGGGAATTGAGTTTGTTGATGTGTTGTTCTCTCCTATGCTACGAGGGTTTCCTCCGGGTTCTCCGGATTCCTCCCTCCATAAAAATCAACATGTGAGTTGAGTGTTGTAGTTGTAAATATAGACCGTAGTGGTAATGCGTGTGGAGGGAACCTCACGGAAGAGCCCCGTATGGGGAGTGGTTGTTGTAAAATATTATTATTCTTATTATAGGAGGTGGGAATTTTCGAACAATGCATTGTGGGATGACATAAATATCCTCCTTTGTAATGCATCTATGTTAACATCATTACTATTATTACCGTTGCGGTTTTCTTGAGCAACATAGCTTTCTACTAGTTTCCTAAACTTACTTTCTCTTAACCAGTGAGCATAATAATACTCTTGAGCAATGTTTCGTTCAATTTCTGTAAAGTTCAGTCCTGCATTTGTCAGAACGGTAACAGCACGTGAAAGTTCCAAAGTAATCCTGCTATTGTGGGAGAGAAAAAATTATAAACATTCAGGAGGGTTGTTGTCCATTACAAGTGGATCATGTGCAATCAGTTCGTATCCATCACTACAGGAATATACACGACCCACTAGCAAAACAATCTCAATTTTACTGTAGATTTTCCTTGGTTCATTCCTACTTCCCACACAAGAACCTGGTACTTTTTGTTGCTCTCGTAAACGTTGTAATACTTGTCCTCATAAAGCCTTTCACACTTCTGTTGTCGGTCCTAAATCCACTGTTAAAATCACTGACCACTTTGTTTGTACCACTTCTAATGTTGTATATTGTATCAAATGTACTCACTGTAATCTTTTGTATGTGGGCGAGACTGGTTACCGTCTCGGTGATCGCATTTGCAATTATCTTTATGATATTGGCAATAACGATCCTACCAAACCAATTTCCCGCCATTTTAATCTAGCTAACCATTTTCGTTCTGACTTTATTGTTTTCGGTCCTTCTTTGATTAACGGCAACAATGTTTGTTGCAAGACCTGATGAAATGCAGCTTATTCACCTATTGGGCACTCTTAGTCCCAACGGGGTTAATGAACGCTTTGCTTTTAAAAACCCCTCAACTTTAAGCGAAACAATAACAAACCCCAAACTGATTGATAACTGAGAGTATGCAGATAACAAAGAGGCTAATCAGCCGAAAAAGTCATCTATCGCTCACAGTGAAGTAGAGGCTTTAATCACAGGTCTTCAGAGTCTCCCACTAGTTAACAGTGTAACATTTAACAAAGAACAATATATCAGTGTGAACTACCTTCCTAACATGATGAACGACTTGTACAGATTCTGTGTGCTGGGAAACTCAATCCTATGTGTTGACAAAACCTTTGAGCTGGTAGATGGTCTGTGGTTGAATGACACAACCTACACAAATATGGAGCGCCATCCGTAAAAAAATTCCGGTTTCAAAAGCTTTCCGAATGTGCTTTCCGAATTTGCTTTCCGAATTAGTTTTGAATATTTCGAGTTCGGAATTATTTCGAGTCCAGAATTATTTCGAGCTCGGAATGATTTGGAGTTCGGAATTATTTCGAACACGACCGCAAAGAATGATGGGTTCGGACTACGCTCGTAATATAATCGGACGAAAATCGGAAAGGTTTATGTCAGTCGACAATAGTTCGGAAGCATATCGTGCATCTATCGTCGTWCATTAGCGGTTATTTCCATAGTATAGCGTCAGACCCGCATGTTTAAGCGCCGTTTTACTGGTAGCGTATTCCAAGTTCTAAAAACTTCTAGCAAATCTTTATATATTTAAATCGTTTAGAATATTTAATATCATAGTTTTCAAGATTAAGTTTTGTATATATATTCAATAATAATCCTACACGTTTTCAAGTTCTTTTCCACATCAAAACATGGCCRCCAACAACCCAACTGGTAAGCCCTTAAAAATTTCTTTAACTTTTTCCTTTTATTTTTGTCCACTTTTCTGGTCTTAATCCAATACGATCCTCTGTGTTTCTACTGTTTTCTTGTTCGTTTGTTTGTTTCTTCAACGAAGTAAGCTGAAGCTTATATAAACTTAAATTTAAAACAGCTTGACTCTCTGTCAAGATGACGAACTGGACAAACTTGGATTAAAGAATGTATAATAACAACATTCAATTTCTTTAAAAACGTTTTGGAATTTTTTTTTTTAGGAATTGGGTTTGTCGGTTGTGGCTCTTGCTTCCTCCACCTCTATTCCTTCTTTACGATTATTGTAATTAATTTTTTCTTAAAACCTTTGAAATATGATGAAAATTTTATGCATATTCTTTCTTTCTTGTTTTAGATGATGGTATTGTTGAGTTCACCTCAAGTGTTTGTACACTCCTGAATGAGGTAAGCAGTGAGAGGAAAAGCATCATACAAGATTCCAATAGATGTGAGTTTTTTGCCAACCGCCTGCTTGCTGCCCTCAGCCACATATACAACATTGTAGCATTCTCTCAGAGGCAGATACCAGCCTTCAGCGAGAACACTATTGATGAACTGAAACAGCTCAGAGACAACCTGAAAAGTATCTACCAGGACTTGTACTCTCTACCTGTCATGGGCAGCTACTCCTATCRTCCTGTGGTTCGCAGAACTGGGCAGCGTGGTAGGCCCTCCTTTGCAWTCACTGAAGAGCAAYTTCAGTGTTTGCGAAGTGAATTCAATAGCTGGGCTGRCATTGCAAGAGATCTTGGGGTTTCAAGACAAACCATATATAACAGAAGAAGAGATCTTGGTTTTACTCTTGAATTTGAGTGGTATACTCAAATTAATGACAATGACCTTGACTCAATAGTGAGGGAAGAACTCAGACTATTTCCACGAACTGAAACGAATCTAATTGGTTCATTGCGAAGACGCCGGATTTTTCTTCAGCGATGGAGGGTCCGTGAGTCAATCATTCGAGTTGATCCCATTGGAAGAGCAAATAGATGGGCACAAAGGATTGTGAGAAGACCCTACACTGTTCCACATCCCAATTTTCTTTGGCACATTGATACAAATATGAAACTGATTCACTGGAAGATCTGCATCCATGGTTGTGTTGATGGCTTCTCCAGATGCATTCTGTATCTAAAAGCCAAAACAAACAACAGAGCAACAACCGTCMTACAAAGTTTTCRAGAAGCAGCAGCAACATGGGGACATCTCTCTAGAGTCATTGCAGATGATGGCGGTGAGAATGTAGCTGTTGGCGAGTATATTACTTGGTTCAGGGGAATGGATCGTGGCAGTTTCATCAYGGGGCCGAGTGTTCRAAACACAAGAATAGAGAGACTTTGGAGGGATGTTGGAGAGRGCGTCATTGCAGTGTTCAGACACCTGTTTACCTACATGGAGGCGGAGATGTTTTTGGATCCTGGACAAGAGCTGGATATTTTTGTACTTCATTATGTCTTCGTGCCCAGAATTCAACGGTCATTGGATTCCTTTAAGGAGAGGTTCAACTACCACTCATTATCTACTGAGGGTAATAGGACACCCCGACAACTTTGGGCTTCTGGGCTTCTTAGCAATTTCAACTCTACAAGCTCTGGAGTCAGAGATTTATTTGACAATCCTGATGATATTGACTTTTATGGTGATGACCCAGATTCCCCAATGGCAGATCCTGATAATGAAGTTGAAGGTGTCTCCATCCCTCCTGTTACCTTCCATCTACAAGAGGAGTACCTTCAAGTGTTGAGAGATACATTTGTTCCACTTGAAGAAGATGGAAACTATGGCATTAATCTCTTCCTTCAGGTCAAAGAATTCCTTACAAGGCTAAACAACTTTTARCCTTTTAGCCTTGTG